GTATAACCTTATGATATTTTCTTAGTATCCACTACAACTGACGTGTATAACCATATGATATTTTCTTAGTATCCACTACAACTGACGTGTATAACCTTATGATATTTTCTTAGTATCCACTACAACTGATGTGTATAACCTTATGATATTTTCTTAGTATCCACTACAACTGACGTGTATAACCTTATGATATTTTCTTAGTATCCACTACTACTGAAGTGTATAGATATAATCATATGTTCTTAATATCCACTACAACTGAAGTGTTTAGACTTTATGATATTTTCTCAGTATCCACTACAACTGATGTGTAGTGACTTTGTTATTTTCTTAGTATCCACTACAACTGACGTGTATAACCTTATGATATTTTCTTAGTATCCACTACAACTGACGTGTATAGACTTTATGATATTTTCTAAATATCCACTACAACTGATGTGTATAACCTTATGATATTTTCTTAGTATCCACTACAACTGACGTGTATAACCTTATGATATTTTCTTAGTATCCACTACAACTGACGTGTATAACCTTATGATATTTTCTTAGTATCCACTACAACTGACGTGTATAACCTTATGATATTTTCTTAGTATCCACTACAACTGATGTCTATAACCTTATGATATTTTCTTATTATCCACTACAACTGACGTGTATAACCTTATGATATTTTCTTAGTATCCACTACAATTGACAGGAATAGACTTTTATTAACATTTACAATCTAATGTACATTTATATGAACTGTCATTTTTTTAGTAATATGAAATGAATTGGTCTTTTTCTATTATAATGTTAAAAGTATTTGACTTGCATTAAAGTTGTACTCAACAAAAGCTTCATATAAATTTATTTTTCTAGAGTTACCCCTGGAAAATGCAATTTTTCAGAAATGTGATTATTTTTCTCATTGTTAATTATCTGAACAACAGGAAGCATGTAAAGTACCACAATCTTACAATATTTGCATATGAAGGACCTCTAATGTTTTCTTTAGATGTAAATAAAACAACTGTCTTATATTTCTTTTCGAAATTTGGTCACAGTTGATTTACTTTTTGTATGGAAATTTGTCTTTTACTAGAAATGCTCAGTATTTTAGAATCTCGATTATAAATGTCATTTTTTTTTTTTTTACCAGCTGGGTTTGATTGTTATGACTTCTTTTGTCAGATAAACCAGAATACAGGAGGCTAAATGAAAGCAGTGTGAATTCATCATTTATATGTCCAGTTTGCAAGAAATCTTTCAAGTCATACAAATCAGAAAGAACACATTTTCATTACCAACACACAAGTCATCGAAACTTCAGTTGCAACATTTGTGGGAAAACTTTCACACGAAAGCATGCTGTTTTTCGACACTATCGAGTGAAACACCAATCAGACAGTGGAGTTGGATAACGAGCATGACTAATTTGAAGATCTTGTGCTATGTTCTTTTTTATTAGTTAAGTATTTAGTTTAATTGGTTTCCAGAAGTTTAACATTAGTTTTCTTTATGCTAAGTA